ATATATATGTATAGTCATTTAAAAAGTCAAACAATTCACATAAAACAAAAGTTCTCCTAGTTACCTTCTTCCATATCTGCTCAGTGTCCAACCCTACCCTGTACCTCAAATGTAACAGTGGTTACCAATTTGAGTGAATCCTACCAGACTCCCATAAGTATGTGTACTTACTGAAATAAGTATATATGGATGGAAAAGGGTAAAGAATGACAGAAAATCAATCTATTCCACTTAGGTTTCCCTCTGTTAAAGCAACACTGCTGATTTGGACAATTTACAATGGAATAATTCTTGTCTATATTTACCTTAAGTTTGCTTAGATTTATTCCCTTTGCTGTTCTGTACATCTCCCATGTTGTGACATGAAAGAAAAATACTCCCATACCTTTCCTTGCATTTTGTCTGTCGACTGAGAATAAAGTCATCCTGGTCAAGAACAAAGAAAATCACATCTACTAGGGGCTAATGCAGATTGCAATCTAGGAAAACACAGATTCAAGCAATCTTGAAAATGTGTTCTGAAATTGTCCTAAATAGCAGCTGTATTTATAGCTTTAAACAAGAGAGGGTTGGAAACTCCATCACTCCTCAGTAGGAATTATGACTGATGGTGGCAAAAGTTAAGGTATCTTGTGAAGAAGGGACTGGGTACAGTAGCAGTCTCCGAGTGACGTGGGGGAAGGAATCCCTTGTTCAAAAGGTCAGCAAAGGTCACAGTATTCCAAAGATTAACACCCAAGGGCAAGGTTTGCAGCCCAGTTCAAAAGTTCAGCTGCAGACCTGTCTGAGCTCTGACACACAGTGGCCTCCTGACTCCATTTTAAGTGCCCCAAGCCAATGCTACTCCTTTCTGAGTTCTTTCCTTGACGTCACTTAAGTGTTCGACAACACTTGTTCAGTAAATATTTATGAAAGTAAATAGAGACAACTCGATAGAATATCAATAGAATGGAAGAATATCTGTCTTATAATGGCACAAATATGTTCCCTTCTCTTCCCCATATGATTATTTGTTGGTCCTAATATTTCATCCATTATTCTATTTGTCCTCCCCAGCCTAGCCTATGTAGATGGTTTGCAGGGCTCTAGCGAGGGGGTCCACATGGTTAGCAACAGCCTCGTAGCTTATCCCAGGGGCCATTAGCGTCCTTTCGCTTCTTTAGATGGATTCTTCCTTTAGGTGAACATGTTATCCTGTTGGTCTTTAAATTCACCCTGCAGATTAACGGTGTTCATCAGCTGCAGGTGTTTTTCATACCTTGGTAAAACATTTACTTGCACAAATGAAAATAGTCAATTATTTCAGAATAAATTAACATTATATAGGGACGTCTTTCGCGAAAGTATTTCCTCTAATGTTTTGAAATTGAACTATCTTGATTTGTCATTTGCAAATATGAATTTCTTTTTAATGAAGAGAAGTTTCTAGTTTAAAAGTTCATCTTTTTAAATTGCTCATTTGTAGGTTTTTAAAAGTAAGTAATGGATATAATTACTGTATTTTTAAATTATAGTATATTAGTTGGATAATCTCAGATTACATAAATAGGTTAACATTAATGTACTGCAGATATTCAGTTTTTACCCGTAGAATGAAAGTTTCATCTTTAATTATAGCATTTAATTCTGACATATCATTGTCATACAGTCATGCAACAACAGCATATAAGATGTGGTTTCACAGGTTTCCCTAAAATTCCCTTCAAATCTTTTACACTGAGTTTCAGATTTAGGCTTCTTTTCCTAAAAGCAAAAAATAACATTTATACACAGAAAATGCAGTCCCTAGCCATTGCCAAAAGACTATTGAAAATGACATTATTGGACCAGAGATTTATCTCAGTGGATCCACTGCCTGCCTAGCAGTGGCAAGGACCCGAGTTCGATCACTGGTAGAGAAAGAAAGGAAGGAAAATGACATCATCACATTCCCACTGTAACTCTGTCTTCATTTTTTCGTTTTTTTTTTTTTTTTTTTAGTACCGGGAATCAAACTTGGGTCCTTGTGCTTGCGAAGCAGGCCACCGAACCACTGAGCTAGATCCCCGGCCCTTCTGTCTTCATTTTTTAATCACCAGTACACTATTTCCTCCTTTCCCCAAATAGAAATGCTGTAGATACCAAATATTTATAGAGCACTGAACATCTAAATTCATTTTAATTTGGTAATGTATGTCATCTTTTTAAATACGAATAAAAATACCTTTCTCTCTGAACAGATATACTGTTATACATGTTAAGAAAAATGATGTTGGGCAGTGTGTATCATGTGTCTGCAATTCATAAATGGAAACCTTTAGACACTCATTACGATGTGCAGGGATTTATTTTGTTTCTGATGTTACAGCCATCTACGAGCAGTCCTGTGAAGCCCTCAGGTACCGAGGGAGCCCCTCTGGGCCTTATTATATCGATGCAGATGGAAGTGGGCCCCTGGGACCAGTTCTTGTGTACTGCAATATGACAGGTATGTTAATAATCTTTAGACTTGTGTATCAGCTCTTTGTGTGTAGACTGAGAAGAAATTTACCTGGCTAGTAGCATGTGATTTGATACTTGTATAACGCTAAGTAGAAGTATTACCTATATATTTGTTTATTTTGTTGTCAATAGATTATTCTTCTATTTCTTGCTTACTTGGGTTAAATTATATGCAAGATTTAGTTTTCTGCCAGGCCAGCCCTGTGGTTTCTATACTTCTCATATTTACATTTGTTCACATGAATCATAATAAATATAAAGCTTTAATTCTTTAAAAGTACTAAGAAATTATATGTACATCCTAGTACTAGTATTTAATCAGAAAATTTAGTGATTTGAATGGTATGTAATTTTCATAATCAAAGAAATGTGATTATTTTTATTATTTTATATTATAAACCATTCTAGTTTAGATGTTATTATAAGTGAACACAGTTTGATTACAGAAGATTGCATGAAAATTCCTCTTAGTTAATTAAATTTTTCCAAAAATTTGCTGTCATCTCTCTCTTCCAACTCTTTGGAAAGTGGAAATCGAGAATAAGCAATTCTCATTTGGTATGCTGAGAAAAAAACTGAAAGTGCCATGAATTTGGTCAGTGCTCAAAGGGGTCAAAAAACACAAAGAAACAGAAAACAAACAAATAAAAGTATGTAGGAGTTCAAAATGCTTTTGCATAGATTGCAAAGAATCTTAAAGGGGAAGTTCAGAAAATCCAGAACCACCTGCATAGCAATGTGCCCAAGATAATGAAATCCTGAAGTCCTGCTGAGAGATAATAATTATCTCTCCAACTCCCTGAATCAAACAGTGAATTGTGGATCTGCAACATCGTCAGCATCAGCCATGTGGCCATTCATTCACATCCTTCATCTTTTTCAAATAGATTTTCCCATAAAGTAGTTCTGGCAAAAACCAAAGGACTCAGTTATAGTCACCACTAGAAGGTTCTTGATTATCATCATTACAAGATGAGGAAACCAAAGCTTAGTGAAATTGATTATGAAAGTTGTAGTGATAAAAATCTAGTTAATGACAGCTGACTCACTAAACCCTGACTTCTTTCTCCCCTAGAAAATTTAGCTTTACTTCAAAAGCTGGACTACTTATAGCCAATAAAAAAATCTAGTATTATAAATCAAGCAATAATCATTAGAAAAGTTCCAGTAGTTTGAAGATATATATATCTGATAACAAAAACCAGTTGCTCCCACCTGGCATGCTAAGGAGCTCAGAATTCATCTTTCCATCTTAAATCAAGTAAAATAATCAAACAAAATGAACAACTCGTCCTAGATTCAACAGAGAGGTAAAGTCACAGAGCAAACCACTGATCCCAAAATCAGAGAGATGGGCAGATACAGAGATTCACCACTTAGCAGAATACATATCCCTAAGCAGAAAGCTCGCTGGGAAACAGATAGGATAGGAAAAGTTCATCTGTAACTTACAAATAGCTGGAGCCTCAGGGGGCGCAAGTCCAAGGGTTTAAAACTCCAGGGGATTCTAGTTACAGAAGAGCCTCCATTCTCTTGTGAGCCTTACCTGTCAGGAACTTGACTAGATTATTACAGTGAATATGAGAGAAAATACTTCCAGAAGGGGAAGATGGAGGAACCATTCTGAAAAAGCTAGAACATTGTTCTTACTTAACAAGGAGTTCCCTCAAAAGAGAGTATTTTACCAGAGTCTAAATCATTGGAATTTTTTTCAGGGCCTAGCCAACTTGGGAAAGGACAGTCTCCTCCAGCCATCCCTTCCCGCCTAAGGGTGGTGGGAGGGGTCGAGAAACACTTTATTACATTACATTCCAGTCCCGAAGCACAGGCTCATCACAAGACTATAGCATGCTGCCCCTCTCCCTGCTTCTTACTACTTTGAGAGCAATTACTTCAACTAGTATATCATGTTCAGCTCTCAAGAAAACAAATCCCAAGGCATACTAAAAGAAAAAAAGATGGTTTGAAGAGACAGACCGAACATTATAAGCCGACGTCAATGTGAGGAATGTTGGAATAAGCAGGCTGCAAATTTAAAATCACTATGATTAATGTGCTAAGGGCTCTGATAAAGTAGACAGCATACTAGAATGGAGGGTCAATGTGAGCGAGAGATGATAATTCTAAAAAGAAGCTAAAAGGAATACAATAAATCAAAAACACTAAAACAGAAATGAAAAATGTATTTTATGAGCTTATGAGAAAGCATCTTTAAGAGGGAGGATAACAGTAAAAACTCCAGTACTGAAAAACAGAGAGAAAAAAATGACTGGGAAAAAACCATAACAAAATATCTGAGAAGTGTGTACAGATACAAAAGAATGAGACTTCTGTATGTAAAGGGATTATCAGAAGAAGAAGAAATAAAGAAAGGAAGAGAAACAACAGTGAGATTTTTCCACAAATTAAAGTCAGCCACCAAGGCACAGATGTGCAAGGTTCAAAGAACACTAAGACAGAATAAACACCCCCCACAAATAAACATCCTACACCTAGGCATGTACATTTAAACTGTAGAAAGTTGGGTAAAGAAAATCTTGAAAGAAATCAAAGGGAAAAAAATAAACACCTTATCCAAAGGAGCAAAGTAAGTCTTATATCTGACCCATCAGAAATCACACAAGGAAGAAGAAAATGGAATGTGAGATTTAAAGGATTGAAATTTTAAAAACACAATAGAAGGCTCCCACCAACTTAGAATACTATACCTTGTGAAGGTGTCATTGAAAATGGAGGAAAAAATAAGGACTTTCTCAGATAAGCCAAGGAGTCAGTTCCCCCAAAAGGCATGACAGTCCTTAATGCAGATGTTTCTAGCAACAGAGAATCATGGATCTTGATGAATCTTTAATCTCTTTTTTCTTTTTGGGATCATGGGAGTAAGTGTATTAGATGTTGCAGATTTCATATAATTTCTTGAATAAATTTTATTATTAAGTGCTATTGATTGCAACTAAATCATAAAGTTAAACTAGCTTGCTTTGATAAGTTGGGTATTTATATGAGCCACTGGGAGCTGTATAGGGATCACGCACTACTCGGTTTCCTTCTGGGCCCCACAGAAGGTAGACAGGGCCTGCTGCATCTCCCTCAGCCCTGGCTCTGACTCTGAAACCCTCCCCACACCAGCACCCTCACAGTGACCCTCTCCACAGGACCACACTCAGGGTCATCAGCTGTATTCTTCCACTGTGCAGATTACTTAAAATTTAAAATTTTTATGAATATGATATGTAGATTACATTAGCTGCTATTTAAAGTCCTTCCCAATGCTAGTATTCTAATTTATATAATCTTAAAAGAAATAATGCACAAATGAGGGGAAAAACAATCATTTCTGTCCTTCCTTGGATCACCTAGGGCTGATTATAACACAGGCAGAAGTAACTTAAATGGCATCTTATAAAAAGGAATGCCCATCCTATAATGTCCCAAGATTACTATTTTACTCTTCTTTTTGCAGATATTTTCTCAACCCTTCCCTTTTTGGTACTGGGGACGTTTTCTCTTATTGCATCTTAACCATGTGTGAATCTATTAAATTGACCACCAGACTATAGATGAACTACAACAAGACTTTGAAATTGTGACACATGACTAAAAACAGCATGTGATCAACAATTGCCAATGTCCAGTTTAGAGTTCTATTAAGTTTCTCTACATGTGATTTAGTTGATCGGAGAGCCCTTGAGGGTGAATATACACAGAAAATAGGCCAGGTTTTAGAAATTCTAAAATTAAAAGCTGTGCGTGCTCAGTTAGGACATTATATGGGAAGCACTCCCTGGGCTGAAATTACTGTAGGAGCCTTTGGGATCTTGCTTTGTAAGTACCAGGGATCCAGGGGTTGTTTAATTTAAAGTTGCTTCAGTTATTCAAATCCACAGTCTCTCGTGCTGGCTGCCCCTTTATGGGTATTGTCCCTTTGCTCCCAGGGACAGAGAACCTAGATTTGCTCCAGTCGTACTCCTGGCCTCCTTGTCCCTCTTTGCTGCTTTCTCCATGATTGGAGGACTGCAAGCCTCAGTCAGGCTGCTCCCTTTGTCTCAGGCACATTTGGCACCAAACATTAAAATCCTGGGATATGAAGTGAAGGGCAGTAATTTCTCAGTGCAAAACCTGCATTGCTTTGAGGTTTGGTTCTTCACGGTGTGTATCCATACAAATCCTTCCCAGTAGCTCTAGTTTGGAAAGTCCCTGTATAAGATATCCTTTATATTGAATATATGGTGTTGAGAGGTTAAAGGGCCAGATAGCGATGTAGTAGGATTACTGTGTCCTCAAGCAACTTCTCGGAGTTATTGCTGTTTCTGCTTTACACTGCCTAGTGTGAGGGCCATTGCTGGGAATGTTGAGGAACCTCAAGTATGTTTGTTCTCTTATCAGACTGCAAAGTTATCTTTTTTATTTCATCAAAACAAATCTATGTGATCAAGGTGACAAATACATCGGAAATTATATCATTGGGCCAACAGATGGTCAGGGCTGTACCAGAATAGTTGGTTCACTTAGATGCTCCAGGTGTGAGTCATCAGTGCTTGTTCATTGGTAGAGAGCTGGTGCAATTCTATTTTAATAAAGTCATGTTTTGGGTTATTCTTTGAGTATGTAGGTCATATCCTTTCAAAATGCATCTTTTAAAAATGTATATGATAAGAGAAATAGACCCACATACAGATCAGGAAAACACTGATTAAAGGAGAAATGTACTCTCACACTTTGGCCTTGTTCTTGTGTTGCTGTACAAAAAAAATAGTTTTAAGAGTAGAAAGTCATTGTGTACATTGTATATTCTTAGACACGATGTCACAGACATTTAATCATCCGTTCTCCCCAAGTAGATTCTCCTCGAGGCTGACTTCTAGCTAGTTACACAAATACAACCCCCTAAATTTGTTGCAAACTCTCAAGCATACAAATTTCAATTAAAAACTAAAAGAGGTTTCTTTTTTCACATTCACACAGACACCTCCAGCCCAGTGATGGCTTCTCTTGGCCAGTTCTGCTCAGCCAACTTGCAGGAAGTGTGGTGTAGCCCAGAAGCCAGGAAGTGGGACCCCCAGTTCTGTTCTCCCTCCTACCCTCAGGGCACCTCAGCTACCTTCAGGGGCACTGGGCTTCGGGCCCTGGCTGGGGACTGGGGGTTGCACACTTGGAGGTCAGAGGTACAGGTCAACATCAGTTTCAGGAGCTTAGTTCAAAGCCCTGATACTCTAGGGCTCTGCCTCTTCTTGACTGGGTAAATTGAGCAATAAAATGTGTCTTCCTGATAGAGAGACATGCATGTAGTTTTTTTTTAATTCAGGGAAATTTTGCTAATAACAGTATGACTTGCTTTTTGTTCACCGTTTGGGTATAGTGGCCAATTAGGGTGGGATGGGTCTAACAGCTCTTCCCAGAGAATAATGCTTCTTTCGGCTTTGCAGTCTACCTTTAATTCTGCTTGTCACTTTTTGGCTTTGTCTTTAGATGATCTCAACAGGATGTCACTGTTTATTTCCCAGACCCACTACTCCCACTTGGGTCTAAGAAGAAATCATCATTGGAGTTAGTACAATAGATTTTCTACTGGCCGCCCCTTTCCTCCACGTTGCCTGGTGTAATATCTTAATTTTCAGAAATGCACATGATGTTATTGTAGGAAGCTCTTCTTGCAGCATAACAGGCTGACTTTTCTCCCTCCTCCAGGAGTTCTCGCAGTTTCCTGCAGAGCCTCTACTGCTCCCCAACATAGCTGCCGGATGGTTTATTACAAGCACCTTATTATCAGTAACAGTTAAATACTGCTTTGTCTTTCTTCTTTTTAGATTTAGCAATCAGAAATAGTATATATTAGCAGAACAATAAATAAAGCCACTCAAATTTCACCCTTCAATTTTCATCTTCTTAATTTAATCTTAATTATATCTTAATCTTTCATCCTAATTTAATCTTCTATTAATACAAGTGAACAGTGTTGGGGTACCCTCAGCTGTGGTGGGTCATGCAGAATCAGGGGTGTCCACCTGTATTGCACCGGCCTAATCTGCCTCCCTCCGGGCCAGTTTGCTCCTGTGGACTATTTCCAGACCACGCTCTTCCCCGGGCTAGACGTTTCCTGCCCCTTCCTCCACCGGGATGCTCTTCCTGACTTTCACCTTTAAATCTTCCCCACTGTGCCAGACGGAGGCAGCCCCCATGAGGTCTGTGTCGGGGAGTCTGCCTTCTTTAGATGCCACTCAGCCAGTTCCACCTACTTCAAAGAGTACAGGGCATGTTCCCTTCCATTTCTAAGCTCACTTCCAAATTCCGTGTCTGTTGCTTAGCAGCTGTGGAAATTTGACTAATTAGTGTTTCCGAGTCTCTGTTTCCTCTTCAGAAAAAATGGGCCCCGTATAAGACCTCCCACATGAAGAAGATAACCCACGTAAGAAGTCAGGAAGTGGGAGATCCTGATCCCCACCTCTCCGGGTGTTTATATCAATTATACTTGGCCCATCACCTCCTGAGTGGGTGAGTGAGCACCTCCCAAGGGCTAGAGCTTGGCTGGACACTGCACAGGCCAGCAGAGGACCCTCCCAAAGAGCTCAAAGTGAGTTAATGAATTGGCTAATTTTTGAGCATTTACTTCTATACTTTTAGGTATAAGGATTCTTTCAAAGCAGCCCACTTTTAATTTGGAGAGTGGGAGATTAAAAGTGAAAATAAAATTAGTTTTAAAAACTACTTTATAGTCACATTAGTATTCCTTTTCTATGCATGTTCAACATACAAGCATTGCTCATTTACATATATTATAACCATCATGCTGCTACTGAAGAATATTAAATAGAAACTTAATTTAGACAAATATCTAGAGTGGACTTAGTATTTCCAGAAGCTCCTGGTTAGGGTAGAGATGAAGTAGGAGGATAAAATAGCTTGAGTTTCCCTTATTACAGCTCTGACCTGATTTGCATTATTAGTGGGTACAAGCAGGCCAGCAGAATTCTAATCTCATACATGCAACACTGGAATGAATTGATTTGAGGCTCTGTAATTGCACTGATGTCTGTCTGTGTCTTGTACTCAGAAATTATAGTTCAGTTCATTTGAGGTGTAGCTTGGGGTTTGAGAATTTTAAAAAGATACACAGGTAAGCTTTCAGAAGCTATTGTGCTAGGAACTCACCTACTGTAATAGAGGAAATGGGACATTCTACTCCTATCATGATAGTTTTCCTGTTTACATTTGAAAAAAGAGTTCTTCCTGATGATTTTCTAGGTCTTTAAAATGTATTTATTTATATTTTTTTGGTGTTTTGAGACAGGATCTCACTCATTATGTAGCCCAAGCTGGCCTCAAACTTGGCGGCAATCCTCCTGCCTCAGCTTCCTGAGGGCTGGGATTACAGGTGTACCCCACCATGCCAAGCTAAATTTAATGTTTTGAAATGATTTGAAGTTACTGTGGCCTCATACATTTGTGAGAAATAATAGATAGAAACCAAGTACCTTCTACCCATCACAACCAGGGTATAGAAACGGATGCATTCAATAAGCACATTCCCACCAGCACAGGAATCCTCCCCTGGCCCTCAGTAACCACACCTGCTTCCTGCTTCAACTCATCAGCTGGAAACCCCGACAACCACCGGACTGTTCTCCATTCTGTGCTCTTTTCCCTTCACAAATGTGATGTGTGTGTGTGTGACTTCCTTCACTTTACATTATGGTCTCAAATTTAAATGTTGCATGTTTCTCTTATGTGAGAAACCTCATATATAAAATGCCGAATAAGAGATAGACAGTAGGAAAAAGCGAGATGGGTCTTTGGCATATGGGAAGGGGACCGAGAGACAGAGGAAGGGAGAGCAGGGAAATGGGGTTAAAAGCGGAGAATTGTCACGTGCTGTGTACATGCACCAAGTTGCCACGAGGAATGTGATCATCTTGTACCACAGACATACGTACGTATCTCCAAGAGATGGTGGAGGGGATTACAGAGAAAGAATTAAGGTGTGTGGTGTACAAAGCACCAACTCCCCATGAAGAATGTAATCATTATGTACTTCAAAATGTACCAATAAAAAGAACTGTATAACTCATCAGTTCTGTCTTTGTTAAGTAAGCTAATATTGGAATTCAGATAAAGCATGGTACGAAAGAGCCATAAAAGTAAATACTCTAAACTTTATGGTAAATTTAGTAATTATATGAATCATACAATAATAAAACCTTATTCTTAAAAAAGTTATGTAAATGGAATCTCAGAGTAAGTTCCTTTGGGAATTGATTTTTTCACTCAGCATAATCTGGCCATGTGTACCGTGATTATGTGTTTACTTTAATATTCACTCGACTCCCACTCCCAACAGCATGCCTTTGCTTTCTTTTTCTTTTTTTCTCCATTAACTTTATTGGTACATTTTAGGTAAACAATAGAGTTCCATTCATCCTTGGGATCGTGCACCTTTACCTGATGTATCTTGGTTCTTATTTTCTCCCCATTCCCCTGCCCTCCTTTCACCCCCCCACCCTTCCCTATTTGCAAAGACTTTGTTTCCAGTTTTTCCTTTTCTAATATTTTTTCTTTTCCCTTCTTTCTTTCCCTTCCACTTCCTCTACTCCTTTAGACCTTTTCTTTTTATTTCACATTATCAGTTATACATTTCGATCCTTATTTATACTTTTTAGTTTTTCCTACCAGAGAAACTATTTGATTTACACGTGTCCTATTTATTTCACATAAGAGTATGGCCTCAATGCGCATCTATTGGATACAACTGTCTCTAGTTTCTCATTCTTTATGGCTGAGTAGTACTCCGTTTTATAAACAGCACGTCTTGTCTTAACACTTGGTTCTGTAGAACTCAGGCCCTCTCTAGGTCAGCCATTTAATCATGTCCCGTGCTAACGAGATGGTTCTGGATGTCTGCATGACTGAGTTAGGAGTGACCTGGGGCACTTTGTTTCTGAGCATAATATTCATCTCAGGTGTGAAAAGTTATTGGTGCTATTTCTTTAGTATCCATTTAAGTAGACAGGCTAAGCAATGCAAGAAAAGCACATATCTCCAAAAAATCTAGTGAGTCTGAACTGTACCATAACTTTCCAAATGTGTAACTTTACAGCAAGTGTGATGAGATAGACCAGTATTTCTTTATGATATTAAACTTTTTCAATGAGCATCTTATCATCTCAAAGAAATTTATTCTTAGGGCATAAATTATTGTGGCTTTTGTTTTGATAACAGTTGTTTTTCTGAATATTATTTTCATGGAGAGTATGTAACATCATGTACAAAGAAGTTAAGGAATATTTTTCTAGTGAAAATTATATAGGAAATTATAGGGAAAATAGATGGGAGTCATTTAAACATATATTTAAACGAAGGAAAGCACAATTTTTGTTGCAGGGATAAAATGTAACTTGTGAAGTGTATACGCACACACACACACACACACACACACACACACACACACACAACCTGGGAGTACAGGGATTATATTGGAGTGATGGTGGTGCCAGGGGCAAAGTAGATGTCATCTTTCTCATGCTTATCTTTCAGATGGAACCCCACTGAGCTGGTGGATTGGAAGAACCAATGAAACACGCTCTCACTGGGGGCACCCTCTGCCTGGGGCTCACAAGTGTACTTGTGGATTGGAGGGAAACTGCATTGATTCTCAATATCATTGCAATTGCGATGCTGACCGGAATGAATGGTGATTTTCTTGCTCAAAAATGTAGTTTCTGTTCCTTAATCATGCATAGTGAATTAAATATCAGATAAGCTGGTATAAAATAGTAAAATATGCTCAAACAAGTTAGAAATGTAAATTTGGATACATATGTTTAACTAATCCAAGGATTAAATTTCATGAACAAAGAGTTACCATTTTACTGTGAATACTATATAATGTGCATTTCATTTTTCTTAAATTGGGAATTTGATGTTTCTCACTCCTAGAAATCAAATACCAGTCTCCAAAGTTCTGTTTAAATAATCATTCTAGTATTCATGCAGTACAGTATACTCTTAGCAGTAATTCAAAAAGTGAATTCCTTCAAACCTTTGTTTTAAGTAGATTTGGGATATAATACTACACATTACACATTCTATCTTTCTTTAAGAATTCACCAGTAAACATCAGCACACTGAAACAGAGAGCCTGCTAGAAGGACTATGCTCTGTGTAATTCCTAAGTTCCGTGCTCACTGAAGCCTTTTTTGTAACACTTTGCTGTAGACTTGCTATTGTCTAGGGGAACATCACTCAAAAAACACAAGATTTGCAGTAAATGGCCTTCCCACCTGCTGAGGGAGGACACAGGAAAACTGAGCCGTCCTGGTTGTCTGACACCCTTTACCTTATGTACTCCTTTCACTAGAGCCCTTGTGTGACACATACCTGTACTTTTGTTTGCCAGAAAGCTTAGGAGGGGAGCATTGCAGTCACATCCTAATTTCAGACAAGGGACTGTGTAATTATTTGCTTTTTTAACATATTTACTTTGAAGCTTCCAGTGTACAGATCTTAGCCAGCAACTAAGAATGCAACCGTTTTCATGGTTATTCCCAGCTCTTGCAGAATATTTTGTAAATGAGACTGTGCATAAAAGAGGTAGTAGAGGATTTTAATTTCTCTTAATTTTTCTAATGAAGTTAATTTTTATCAGTTTGTAAAGGTATGACTTACCAATCTCGCATAAAGATTTTTTAAAGTTATACAATGCAAAATCTATAATTCTATAGTACTGAGATAAATAAAACAATTAGCGAAGCTGATATTTTAATTCTTATAACAATATCTTGATATTACAGCCATGTCTTATATAATGTATATCATTCTCAAAAATGCATAGAGCATTGTGCAGATAAGTGAAATCGTATAAGCTTTAAACAATTGCCATGATGGAGACTATGATATCAATTATAATTAAAATTATAAGTCAGCAACAAATATATAATTTTTAGAAACTCATAGGAAGAAAAGGTCCAAAGAGGAAGGGAAAGTGGGAAAGTAGGGGAAAGGAAAGAAGAGAGTGGAATTGATATGAGAAAATGAAAAAATGGAAACAAAGTCTTTGTAAATAGAGAGGGGTGGAGGGGTTGAAGGAAGGGCAGGGGAATGGGGAAAAATAAGAATCAAGATATATTATATAAAAGTACAAATCCCGGATAAGGAATGACATTATTTTGTATACCTAAAATGTACCAACAAAATTAATTTAAAAACACACCCACCCCTCCACCCCCCACCCCACACAAGACAGAAGGGGCCAGGGATTTAGCTCCGTGATTCCACCACCTGCCTCACAAGCTCAAGGACCCAAGTTCGATCCCTGGTACCCCCCTGAAAAAAAGACACAAAATTGAAATGAAATAAATGCTTAAAAGTTTGGAAAAGAAGAAACAAAGTGGGAACGTGTTGACTGTAGATAACACAATTGTTTAACAGAAAATTGAAGATAATATAAAAAATACTGTCAAAGTAATGAAAGTTCAGTAATTTTGCTCAGTTGAAATTGATAATCAAATAATTGAGAAATCACATGAATTTCTACAAAATTGTAAAATGATTATTATTATAAATTCTAGTTTAAATATTTTCCATGTTAAATTCTAGAGGATAATTGTAATACTTTTTTTGGATTGATTGTTTGAGACAGCAGCTCACTGTGTAGGTCAGGCTGAACTTAAACTCATTAAGTAGCCCAAGCTGGCCTTGAATATGTAGCCGTCCTCCTGTCTTGGCCTCCTGAGTGCTGGGATTACAGGCATGTACCACCACACCTGTCTATATTAGCTATAATACCTTTATGGAAAAACTATAAATTATTATAAATTAAAAATAAATTATAGGGCCTGGGATTTAGCTCAGTGGTTCTGCCACCTGCCTCACAAGCACAAGGACCCAAGTTCAATCCCCAGTACCAATCAATCAATCATAAATTATTTTAAACTTTAGATCATCCAAATTAATTACTGCCAAGGATAATGTGACTCAATATTTTAAAGCAGCACTTCTCAGTCTAGGGTACTTTTGACTCACAGGGAGTATTTGGCATTTGAAGACAGTTTTGTCTCAAAGAGAGGGAGCTATTTCTATAGATATATTATAAGTCAGAATTGCTCCTAAACATCCTACAATATACAAGACAGCCCCATAACACAAAATCATACATCCCAAAATATCCATAGTGCTACTATGGAAAAGTCTGTAGTAAGATGTCATTCTCCTCAAATTAATCTATAAATTTAATTAAATTTCAAACAAATGCTAAGTGTTTTACTTGCTGGTGTGGATTGTAACAAGGTAGTTTTAAAATTTATATGGAAAGTAGGAGTAAAAGAATAGGCAAGGTGCTTTTTAAGATGAAAAACAAGAAGAGACCAGTCCTGTCAGACATCCAGACTGATTATCATGCTGTAGTAATTAATGCAGGTTAAATTGGCCAACAGATAGGCAATCAAGCCAATTAAACAGAAACTGAAAACCTAGAAATTTTCATGGGAATTAGTTGTGTGTCATAATGATTATGTTATTCCTGACCTATTCCCAAAAACAATTATGAAATTTAAGACATATTTCCCTGTCTTGCTTTCTTTTTTTTTTCAAATTGAGTTTCTTGGTACATTTTAGGTATACAGTACAGTTACATTCATTATTGGGATCTTGTACCTCTACATGACAGGTCGTGGTTCTCATTTTTTCCCCTTGTCCCTACCCTCCCTTCACCCCCTCCTCCCCTCCCCATTTGCAAATACTTTATTTTCATCTTTTCATTTTCTCACATTTTTTTCTTTTCCCTTATTACCCTTTCACTACCCATCCCACCTTCCCTACACCTTTAGCCCTTTTCTTCCCATTTCACAATGTCAGTTATCTCATTAGGATCTTATGTGCTATTACAGTTTATTCACAGCAGAGAAACTATTTGGTATTTACATGTGTGACTTATTTATTTCACTTAGGAGTATATTCTCAATATGTATCCATTTTCCTATAAATGAATCTAATTTCTCATTCTTTATGGCTGAGTAATATTCCATTTTATAGAAAAACCTCATCTTTAGCCAGTTTCCAACTGATGGGCAAATGGGCTGTTTCCAAGTTTTAGCTATTACAAACTATGCCGCTATAAACATGGCTGTGCATATATCACTGTGATATGATTCTTTTAATTCTTTTGGAAAAATACCCAGCCGAGGTATGGGAGGGTCAAATGGAACCTCCAGTCCCAGCTCTTTGAGGTATCTCCATATTGATTTCCATAGTGGTTGCACCAGTCTGCACTCCCACCCTGTTTTGCTTTCTTAAGAGTCCCCCCAAATGTATAGCTCTACTGTGCCCCAAACCAAGTCCCTTGGTAAATAATTAGAAGTAGATTTTAGAAATTTTTATAGTGTGTAGGGAAGCATAATTTCATGGCAATAGAAATTTTTAAGCAAAGTTATTTGGAAGTTCTTTTAAAGAAATTTAAAGACTAGTGCAAGAGGTTATTGTACTGAGGGAAGAGCTATTTACAAGTTTAGATCATCTGGGTTGAATATTACTTGTCCAATGTGCTTAGGACCAGAAGGTTTTTAAATGTGGGAATCTTGAAATTCAGAATATGTGTACATACCTAAGGAGATATCTTGGAGATGGGACCCAAGTCTACATTGCCTGATGCAATTATGTGCAATAGTTTTGGTGCAGCTGAATTTGGCTTTAACCCTCAAAATAGATGAATGGCAGCATTTCCCCTTGTGGCATAGTCTCAGCATTTTAAAAGTGTCAGATCACGTAACACTTTCCACTTTGGAGTTTTGAATTAGGGTTGCTTAAAATTTTTCAAAAAATAATGGGGGCGGTGGACAAAAAGGAAAGGTCCCTATTGGTAACCCTAAGGTAACCATGGCAAATCTTCACTGTCCAGTGTTCTGTATAAAACTGCATAGTTGGGATCTGCTTGTACCAACGAGAAATCAGTGAAAAATGTTAGCTGTTCTTTTTTTTTTGATACCGGAGATTGAACTCAGGTCCTTGCGCTTGCAAGGCAGGCCACCGAACTGCTGAGCTAAATCCCCGGCTGTTAGCCATTCTTATACTCCGCCTTCCTAGGAGAGAGAGGCTTAGCACTTGCTCTAATGCAACTGAGATGTACTGCAGTGTTGTACTACAGTGTCCCTTACACAAGTTCAACATTTTAAATACAACATCAATAATGTAAATTGCAGGTTTTATGTAAAATGGATCTTTAGAATTCAAATGGCCTTCATAAATAACTAATAGAATTGCTTTTCCCTACTAGACTATCTCCCTAAAATTGTGCTTTTGATGTCTTCCAGTTGAGTTTCTCACACTGACCTACCACATTTCTCAGAAGACATATTTCCAGCTTATCCACCCTCACTCCACTGTAGGGCTAAATGAATGATGTTGACTTTTGATAATCCATGCTCCCTTCTTTACACAAACATAAGTAACAGAGTCTTAACTAGACAAAAGGACTTTAGTCTGAATTTTAGAAATAATATTTTTACCATTAATTATTTTTACATATTCCAGAGGATTTAACACACATTAATTTATATCTCTTCATATGCCTTACAGGTTGCTTCCCTTTTTACAGGATGGAAATATTAAATAATATAGCCATTTTACTTTAATTCTAGCTTTTCAAATTTTGATTCCTAAAGCCTCATAAAAATTTAGAAAACATTATTTTTGCAAATACAAAAGACTGCACTAATTATTAGCCATTATTAGTCATTCTCATCTTTTGCCACAGTGATGCAAAGAAGTGTGTGGGAACTGAGCAATTTACACAAATAAAACAGTATTATTGAATTTGTTAAGGATTCTGTGTCAGAATGAGGAAGCAGACTGAATGATTTTCTACAAATTAGAATATATTTGCAGCTGAGTCACATATATAATGAAATATTTAAAATCACAAAAGAATAGACAAATGTCTATGTTTTGGGCAGAGAACATATTAGTGGCCCAGCTGAGACCAGGATCTCAGGGCATCCCAGCTTCTCCAGACCTCTTTGTATTGGACCCAGAGATGCACATTTCTTTTCCCAGGCATTTACACATGCAATGATAATGACTAGTATTATAATGAAGATGAAAACAGTTAAAATCCATAGTGTCCAATAGGCCACATGCTTTTTAGAACCAGAGATTGTACTTTTTCTTCAGTGTCATGCCTGGCCCGGGCCTAATGAATAGAATATCTGTCCACTAAATGATTGGACCCAACATTTCCCAGGACACTTTCACACACACTAATCTGGGTAATATGTGTTCAGTTTATTTTGTTTTTGAATTTGTGGGTTTTGTAATTTACAAATTAGCAAGGAAAAAAATGCCCAATAATCAAAAAAGACTGAAAAAGTAATGATACAATTGTGTGAAAGATTATCTAAATATAGTATTATTTATATTTGCAATTAATAATCCTTTAAATAATATCCTGAAACTAATTTTGTCATTATCTAACCTATCTATACTATCTAGTGTGTCATTATCTTGAAAATATTGTCCTCTGCTTGTAAAATGATTTTTGCCCTTCTTGATTTTTGCCCCTCTGTTCTCTGTGTTCAGTGAGACTGGGAGTTGACAAATGATTCAGGAGTTGCTAAACTGATGCTCCTGCGTCAGATCCACCCACTGACCTGCTTTTGTATAGCCCATGAGCTAAGAATTCTTTTCATATTTCTAAGCAGTTAAAAAATAAAATGAATAATTTCATGATGCATAAAACTTGCATAAAATCCAAATTTCAGTGTCCATAAATTTCTGTTGCAGCACAGGCACACCCACAGCTGACACTTGTGGCTGCTGTCACACTGCCATGGCTGAGCTGTGTAGTTACAGGGGCTGCTTGGCTTGAGAATCCCATTGACTATATGGCCCTTTACAGAAGAAGCTTGCTGATTCTTGGTTTTGATTTTTAATAATTTCTGTGCCCTTAAAATCCTGAAAAATATTTGTAAGTGTTCACTTAGTCCTTCAATATTAGTCTCAAATTGCAAAAAGAGATCATAGTTATTGTATCTGAATGTTAATGAGAACAATTTTAAGGGTTTGGTTGTTGTTTTTCAGGACCAGTGATACGATAGTCCTTTCCCATAAGGAGAACCTACCAGTCCCTCAGACTGTGGTGATAGACACAAGGCGACCTCACTCCGCAGCTGCTCATGAACTGAGGCCTCTGCTCTGCCAGGGGGACAGTAAGTAGCACCAAGATAAAGCTTTCTTTTTATAATAGCATGCTTTATTAGAACAACATCGTGTTAGTCATCTTTATGTCACTGTGACCACATATTGGAAGTAAAGAACTTCAAAGGAAGAAGTGTTCAGTTCTGGCTTATGGTTTCAGAGGTTTCAGTCCAAGGTCAGTTGGCTCCATTGTTCTAGGCCTGTGGTGAGGCAGAAGATCCTGGTGAGAACATGGTGGAGCAAAGCTGCTCACTTGATGACATCTAGGAAGCAAGCAGAGAGAGGAGAGGGAGAGGGATCCTACACCTTCTCCAAGAACATATCCCCAGTGACCTCCCTTTCCTCCACTAGGCCCTACCACTGCCTGAGGATTCTGCTATTTTCCAGGAGCACCAAAGCCTTTAACATATGGGCCTCTGGTGGACATTTTAGCTTCAAACCATAACAAGCATGGAAGTAAAAGCATTATCTGTGCTAAAGATCAGTATTTTGCTAGTGAAATACAGTTTGAGCAACTGTTAGGCAAAATGTTTAGGATTGGAAGAGTTTCAGGTTTTGGAAAATTTCAGATTTAGAATATTTGCATGTACATGATGAAATATCTTGGAGATAGGGTCCAAGTCTAAGCATGAAACTCATTCATGATTCCTACACACTTTATACATACGGACTACAGGTAATTTTTTATGAAATTTTTAGTGTGCCAATATTTTGACTGTGATCTGTCACATGGGGTCAGACATAGAATTTTTCACTTGTGGTGTCACACCAGTGCTCATGTTTCAGATTTTGCATTTTTGAATAGAAATAATCAATCTGTATTAATTTTTAAAGAATGAATTTGCTTAATTTTAACTTACTGGCTCATTTACTGCCTATTTATTGCTTCTCGGCCAGCACAGTCCTTAAGTGAAGTATTTCCCAAGTTGTGAGTGCTTGGAAATATTTATTTCTTGCCCTTATTTTTAGGACAATTTGAGTGGGATGAAATTATTGAGTTATACTTCCTTTCTCTAGGTCTTTGGACATACTATGTCACCATTCTAGGGTACTGAGCATTAAATTAATCTTTTTACTGCAGGATTTTTAATCACAGTTGGATTCTAAGCTCAGGTTTTCTTTCACTCACCCCGGGCTCGTTGGCCCTATGTATCCAGAATTCTTTCAAGTCTGAAGATACTTCCCCTACACTTTTAGCCCTTTTCTTCCTTGCACTACACTAAAATCCAAGTGGATTACAGATCTAAATATTAAAAAAGAGACACTAAATCTGCTGGAAGATAAGTTTAGGCAGAACTCTTGAAGACATTGGCATAGGAAAAGACTTTATGAACAAATCCTCAGTAGCACAGGAACTAGCCCAAAGAATCAACAACTGGGATCTCATCTTATTAAAAATCTTCTGCACTGCAAAAGAAACCACCCACAGAGCTAAGAGACAACCTACAACGTGGGAAAAAAATTTTACCAGCTGCTCCTCAGACAAAGGACTATTATCTAGAATATATAAAGAACTCAAAAAAATCAGGGCCCCCAAATATAAAGATCCGATTCAAAAATGGGCATCTGAAATGAACAGATACTTCTCAGACAAAGTTTTAATAATATTTCTTATGTACTGGTATCATATGTTGAAGTGGAGAAGTCTGAAACTAAATTTATTTTTAATTTACTTGTTCGCCTCATTGTGTCGAGGATGATGTTGAAAGAATTACCCCATTGTGGACCCTGAGCATCCCTGCCTGATCTCACAGAGTGTGGCCACCTGCACAATGCACCAAGCAGTTTCTGTAATTAATCTTGTAGGCAACTCAGTGTACCAGGGAGAATATGGCTTTACAGCCAGTGACTATGCAGTGTCAGTCGACAGGCTGCTGGTCTGCTGGCTGCTTACTGCTCTCCTTATCTGAGACGCAGATCGACTTTGTGTGTAGCGTCCACCTGGTTGTCACCGCACATTATGCACATCGCTCAGTGAGGTTTAGTGGCGAGGGAACCAATGTCCATGTCTGGATTTCCATGCCACTTGCTGTGTTGTGAGGCTGACAGTCCTTTGACTCCCTCCTGCATGTCACACATGTCACACCGGCATCCATGCACCAGTGACCAGGAACAGTGGATGAATCCCACGCTCTTCATGGTGCTTGACAGACTTATTATCCTTAAATTTCAAAAAATTTATCATTCAGAAAATGCCTCAGTTTTGATCGTTGGATGTTGAATTCTCTTAAAACAAAGTGTTTTTTTAAAAAAATCCAAGTATTTTGTTCTTCTTTTGTATGCATTGGGTGCAATTTGTGTTTCATTTGCTGACTTTTCTGCATCCAGGACTTCATGTTATCTTGTCTTCCTTTGCTCTCCATATGTTTTGTTTTCTCCAATTGCTTTCATCTTTGTCCTTTTCTTCTGCGTTCAGTGTGATGATCTGTTATTCGTCGGTGTCAGTATTCTGACATCAGCTGTGTTAATTCCATTTCTAGATATTTCTGATTTATTACTTCTGTGACTATCTTTTCTGTTTTTCCTCAAAAATCCATTTTAGTCATCTTTCAGTTCTAGTTTTACTAAGTTATTTTTGTTTGTTTGTTTGTTTCTTTGTTTCGGTACCAGGGATCAAACTCAGGACTTTGCACTTGCCAGGCAGGCACTGTACCACTGAGCTAAATCCCTGGCCCTCTTTGTTATTTTTATACTGTGAAATTCACAGGAACTTCCCTTCTTTTGAGTTGTGATCTTTCAAGCCAGCTTTTTGACATTTGCACACTATGGTCCATTTTAATTTTTCTTCTTCCTGTCATTTACTCTGCCTCCTGCACCTGCCTCCCTTTTCCCTCTTTTTGTGTCCCTCCCTTCTTCTGACCCTTCCTTGTTTCACTGTATGCTTGCATATTGCATTTTTAATCTTATGAATACCTACAGTGGGCAGATATGTTCAGATATTTAATTAATTTGACACATTTTTGTCCCTTTCCAGCTGCTCTTACAGGTTCTGTCCTATCAATTTTCCCCTTAATTTAAGAGTTCAAGTTGGTGCTGGAGGGGTCTATTGCACTGTCTGATGTATCAACTGATATCTGTACTATATCAGTTTTGAAAATTATTTCAGTGTCCTATGCTATGTATGAGACTACTACACACATGGTGTATACTATACTTAGCCCAGGACATCCAGAGGCTTGAGGTTCTTCTCACAACCCAGCATTAACTCTTCCAAGTTTAGAGCTTCTTTACTCGCCTGTTGAGATTTTGACCTCAAGCCCTGGTATGCAGGAGCTCTGCACGCCTCAATGTTTTTCTAGATTATTTCCTCTCTGACTCACATCAACACTCCACTCCTCTCCAGATGTGGGTGCATTTGTGAGATTCTTCAAGATGCTTCCTTCATCTTCAGTTCCTCAACACAACTTCTGAGAGTGAAGCAAAGAGCAAGTATGATATTCAGAATACTCCTTCCTGCAGAAATTCCTCCACAGCACCTTCCTCCATTCTCTTCCCTTTCCTTCTTTGCATCTCTACTTTCTATAAAACAGTATTGACTTGTTCCTTTCTATTCTCCTGAGATGGGACTGGTGGGGATACAGTGCTGGGCCCCTGCAGTACTTGGGGCCTGCAGGTATGGAATGCAGGAAATGGCCACTGGGTTAGAAGATTGGTTACACTCTGGGGGAGTAAGCGGATGGGTGACTACACCGAAGATGATAAGAGCCAGATTTATCACTGAGAACAGAATTGTACATGTGGGAAGAAGGAAGACCAAGCTGAATCCTGTGGTGTTAGATTGGAAATGGAGATTTTGGCATAAGCACATGAATTTTAATATATGTTATGTTAGATGATATAAGTAAATATGGAGGAATATGTATATGATACAGTATACACGCACTTCCTTTCTCTGACCACTGAGAAGACCTAGAAGCAATGACACCTTAGCAGCGAAGAGGTACAAGCATGCAGATCTTGGCTTCTTAATGCCATTTCAATCATATTCCTAACACTAATACAAACTGCCTCCTTGAAAAAAATGGCTGAGCTCTGAGGTGAGACAGAGAAAATATAAGATGAGCCTGGATCATCTTACTGTGAGAGAAAAGTGAAAAACAAAACAAAAAAAGAAGGCTGAAAAAGAGCAGCGTCTTGGGCCAGGGATTAGCTCAGTGGCACCTTATCTGCCTCACAAGTGCAAGGTCCTGAGTTCTATCCCCAGTACAAGAAAAAAAAAAAAGCAGGGTCTTGTCGAAAGAATTTGAGAAGGTCCCCAGTGACCACACTGGGACAGATTATAAACAACTGAATATAAAAAGAATCCAAGAGTGATATTAATATAAATTTAAAAATAGATACACAAAAGAATTGAAAGTCAAGGGAAAATCTCTTCCTAACAGAGGAATCCAATCAGTTAAGGTAGAGGAATAAGGGATCTTAAAAACCACTGGCAATCATCAAAATAATAACATCAGTAAATACTAATAATATAATACATAATAATAATATAAAATAATATAGCATCAGTAAAGCAAGTGGATTGGGTTATGTTAAGGCCTTTGGGCATCAAAATATTAATAAAGAAAAAAGAAAAAATAACTTTCTATGGGAGAAATGACAGATACCTCTTTACAAGGCAAAGCTAACATGGCAGAGTATGGTGTGGTGGCACATGCCTAGGATCCCAACATGTGGGAGGCTGAGGCAGGAGGATTGCAAGTTTATGCTTAACCTGGGCAATAAGAATTTACCAAAACACTGTCTCAAAATTTAAATGAAAAATAAAAAAGGAAAAGTGCAGGGGATATAGTTCAGTGTGAAGACCCTAGGTTCAATCCCTAGTAGTACATAGTAGGAAAAAAACCCATGACAGGTAAACAGACAAGACTAATCAACTGATCCTGATGTAATGCACTAAGGGAGAAACAGCCCCACTTCTGTGGTATTTTTGAAAAAAAATTATAACGTAAAAGTAATGACAAATGTCAGTCAAAGAAAAGCTGAGGAACATTGTATAAATCAACTGAAAATATTACCAGAAAAAGCAAAATAAAGATAAAAGAAAAAGTCATAGTCTTGAGAGATATGAAAGTTCTAGAATGAAGGACACTAGATAGACCTGAAATATAAATGTAACATGAGTTCCTACATTAGGTTCTAGAGCAAAGGTAAAAAAAGGGGGGGGTTCTGATGTGCTGTGAAGGGCATTTTAGAACAGTGTTCTTGTGTTTGTCTCATAGTAATTAAGCAGGAAAAAGTCAAGAGTCTATGATCTGACTCTCAGAGTCACATATCCACCTGCTGTGTCCAAATCTCCACTCAGATACCTAATAGGTATTTCAAATTTAATATATCCAAAACTGTCTAATTTACATCTTCAAATGATTCCCACCGGTGTTGGACCCAAACCTTTGGTGTCAACTCAGACTCCATCCTTCCTCTGGCGTTCACACATCCCTTCATCACTACGTTCTGTTGGCTCTGCTTTGAGAAGGACTCTGATGCAGCCCGTCTCACCACCTCCATTGCCATCACCCCAGATCAAGCCACAATTAGTCATCCCTCTCCCCCAGTGAAGGCTGGACACACACTGGCCTTGTTTCCCGTCTGTTCTGGAACAGACTTCTTTTTCTTTTTCTTCTTTCATTTTATTAGTACACGTTGGCGGTTCATACAGTTTACAGTCATCCTGTGGCGTGGTTACACGCACATGCCACAGCTTGCTTCTTTTTAAATCTCCTTCCCTATTCTCCCCTCCCTCCTGCTCTAGTTCCCCTATCCCATTTTTCATTTTGTAGGTATTTTTAATCTTAGCTCATGTTATGACATACGTTTGCATTCAGGAGGTTATTAGGTTCCTGTACATGGCGTAGCTTTATTTTCCTTATTTTCCCTTCCTCTCCTCCTTTACCTCTGGTGCTTTTTCCCTTGGACCTCTTCCCTATTGCAAGAGATCCATCTCTTTATCCCCTTCTGTTTTCCTTATTACTCTCTTTGTACCTTGCCTCATTCAGACTAGAGATTCCCTATAGTATTTAAGCTTGTCTGGCTTATTTCAGTCAACATTATATTTTCCAAGTGTATCCATTTTCCTGCAAATGTCTCATATCTGTCATTTATTATAGCAGAGTAGTATTCCATTATATACAGATACCACATTCTTTATCCAGTCATCTGTTGATGGCTACACAGGCTGCTTTCAAGCTTTAGCTATTATGAGTTGCTTACCACAGACATCTAATCCTCAAAATAATAATCGTTTGGTGTTGAAGTCACGACTGCGTGGCATGCATGTTCAGAACACCAAGTGAAGACTTATATAGTTATGAGTGTGTTACTGTAAAAATGATTCATGATTTTCTTCTTTCCCTTTTTTAAAAAACAGAGTCATTTTGGAATTCAGCTTCCTTCCACACTGAGACTTCATACCTGCATTTCCCTACTTTCCATGGAGAGCTCACTGCAGATGTGAGTTTCTTTTTCAAAACCACAGTCTCCTCTGGTGTGTTTATGGAGAACCTGGGGATCACAGACTTTATCAGGATAGAGCTGCATGGTAAGGTTCTCGCTTGGGACAAGTCACAGGCTGCTCACTACTTAGCAATGAAAACTTTAACTGAACAAAACTATAAAACATAAACATTCTTATAATTACATTTTTCTTATTCAGCACTAAAATTCCATGACTTTAGTCATTTATTTTTAATAAAGTCACACTATGGGGCATACAGCCCACAGTAATCCATAAAAATGCTATTTCTTCTCTTATCTATAACTGAGTACAGTCAGGACTGTAAGCCAGACTCATCGATTGTTTACTAATTATGAAATTTTTGACCAGTCAGCTTTTGTTCATGTACCCAAAGCTTATTTTATTACTGTAAATATTTAGTACTTTGAGAATTAGGTGAGGCTTTGAACCATTATAAGTAAAGTAGCTACATATAAAACAAATATATTTGTTCTGTTCTAGTTATGGGTACATAATTTATCACTATCAAAATTTAATTTAGTGTGTTCAGAATTAGATGGGGCTTTGAACCATTTTTAAGTAAAAAAAATATATAATTCTGTTGGCCCTATTCTTTTTTGGATACATAGATTTACTATTTAGGGCTGAGGAAGATTGAGGTAGCAGGATTGAGTAATAAAGTACGGAGATAAATATGTGAAAATCAGGTTTTTTTCCCCCTCCAAAAAACAAAGTTATTTTTACTTCCCCTGCCTGCCTGAGTTACTCTTTTCTCCACCAGTGTCACTGTCTCCTTCGCAATGAGCACGCCTCGGTGTTTTACTGTGTCTACTCGAGACTAAACTTTGTCCTCTGCTTAGCAATGTTTATCTGTAATACTCCCAGCTCCCTCGGAAGTGACCTTTTCCTTTGATGTGGGGAACGGACCTCGTGAAGTGTCTGTGCAGTCACCCACTCCCTTCAGTGACGGTCGGTGGCACCACGTGAGGGCGGAGAGGAACTTGAAAGGCGCTTCTCTCCGGGTGGATCAGCTTCCTCCGCAGAGGCGCCCGGCCCCTGCTAATGGGCGCGTCCGCCTGCAGCTAAACAGCCAGCTGTTCATTGGTGAGTGCCGGAGGTTTGCGGTGGCCCGGCCTTAGTGTGACTGCAAAGATGGAGCCTGGGAAACTGGAAACCCTAACTACTTTCAGTAACACTTGCAAACAGCGACTCCCACTGGCACTACTTACTTATAACCTAGTAGGTGGCAGAAGCTTCTCAGTTTGGTTCCAGAAGGTCTTATTTAGTAGATGTTATCGTCCCATTTACAGATGAGGTAACTGAGCTTCAGAGAGGTGGAGTATCCACCACTAGACCGAGATGTCCTCTGCCAGGCGCGAACGGGTCATGTAAGAGATAATGGGTATTTGTCACTACTGTGTGCCACGGACACTGTCAGTGTAGTCTTTAGAAACTTTTCTCCATTTCTAGTTTCACTTCTTAGTGGAGTTAGAGAATTTGTCTTCTAATCGAGACAGAAGTTATCTGGGGTCTGCTCAAACTAGACCACAGTAGACCTGGCTGGAGGCATCGGCAGAGTCTGTCTGTCCCCGAGGACACTTTCAGGATCCCATTCCCGGTCACCTCAGTCAGGTCCTCCTTTCTCCTGCTCTCATCACGAGCTTCTTGGTGACAGTTAGGTCTTTCACCTTTACTCTTATGGTCCATTTTTTAAAGTGTACAGCCCTGGGTATTAGAAGTCCTTCCTTTATTTTGCTTCTGTATTGTTCTGTCATTGTTGCTTGTTTTTTCCAAAGGGAAAGATATCTTTCGCTTGTTTACTTTTCAAGCCATTCCATTCTAACTTAGGAACAAAACCGATTAAGCTACTGGCTTTCACTTGTTTATACATTTTAAAGCAGATAGATGTACAATACAATTAAACACTGGACTAAATCACAAATATTACACAGCCTACTTTATAGAAGGGCATATGTACAACTTCCAGGTACTAAATAGGTGTGTGTGTGTGTGTGTTTGTGTGTGTGTGTGTGTGTGTGTGTGTGTGCGCACGCGCACACACACTTATGCACAGGCTGCCGTATGTAACATGACTCCATAAAACATACCTCCAAGCATGGTTAGCTCTCATGTTACAGTAAGATGAAGCTTCCTTAGAGAACCTGAAACCACAAAATCATGTAACAGGACGAACACACAGATGATTGTGTTAGTCAATTCTCCACTGCTGTAAAAATACCTTCGTAAATTAACTTATAGGAGAAAAGGTTTCTTTTGGCTCAGAGTTTTGGAGATTTCAGTCTACTGCTAGGCAGGCCTGTTGCTTTCAGGCCTCTTCAGGAGAAAAGAGCAGCACCCCATGGTGGGAGCCAAAGGCTGTAAACATGCTCAAGAAGTAAAAGAGGAAGGTTGAGTCCCTGATCCCCCAGTGAGCCTCATTCCTTGAAGTTTCCATCATCTCCCAGTAGTGCCCAGCTGGGGAGCAAGACTTTAATACCTGGGCCTTTGGGCAACATTCCTGATCCAGACTTTAGCATGAGTTGATTTGAGGAACATTCTTTTCTCACTTATATTCTTATTTAATGGAAAGCCTGCAGATAAAATTAGCATTAAAATTCCCCCCCCCCCGAAGAAGCATTCATATTAAGGTAAGGTTTATCAAACTGGTGGGTGAGGGGGTTATTTGTCTTTAGAAGTATCCACGAATCTGGTTATAAATTCAGACTTGGGGGCCCTGCTCTAGGTCACTGAATCAAAATTTCTAAGAGGAGCTCAAGTAGCTGCATTTTTCATAGTTTACTCCTATATGCTTGCCATAATAACAGCAATGGCCCTCATGATGGTGTTTACCTGACATAAGCGGTTAATCCTCTCTAATATGTTCTTAGAGTTTGACATAACAACCACACTGGCGTGTAGCATTCAGTTAATGTGTCCTCAGAGAGAGGTGGATATGTGGGGACACCTTGGAGAAGCTGAGATGGGTTCACCCCTGCCAGTTGCCCTTTCTTTGTTTCTGAGCCTCTTCTGCTTGGAGAATTCATTCAAGTACAAGATTTCACTGTATATATTTTCCAACATTGTGAGAAAGTTCTTACATAACCATTCTAACGTATATCATTGTTCATAATCATAAGTAAAACAATGCTGATGATTTATATTTTGTAACATCAAAGAACTATTTTAGAACGAGTATTTGCCAATCTCAGTATGTTTAAAAATTATTTGATGTTTTTGTTAGTGCCATTCAAGATTTCGTGATATCTGAAAGAAGTTTGCATTTTCAAAATTTTATATATTCACAATACTTTTGACAAGCATTTGTTTTTGCTGCTCTCCATAAGGCCTGAGCTTGACTGGACATAAAATCCTGAATAAAATACCAAGGAACCCACTTCTATTTTCAGTGTTTCCATTGTAGGGGGGACAGCCAGCAGGCAGAGAGGCTTTGTGGGATGCATTAGAGCTCTGCAGTTGAACGGGATATTCCTGGACCTGGAAGAAAGAGCCACTGTCACTCCGGGAGTAGAGCCTGGGTGTGCGGGTCACTGTAGCAGCTATGGACACCTCTGTCACAATGGAGGGAGATGTAGAGACAAACGCAGAGGGATCGCTTGTGACTGTGCCTTTTCTGCATATGATGGACCATTCTGCTCACAAGGTAGGTGTGACCATGAGATGGATTAGAGAGAAAGCATGGCAAGCTTAGAAAATGAGGTGAACACTTCTGGCATTTGATATTACAAAGTCAAGCTAGAATTATGCAGTCATTTGAAATGGAATCATTTCTGTCATAATTTCATGTATTGAAGTTAGAGGATATGACATATTTGAAATCCTGGGGCTGTTCAATAGAATTCCAGTCCTCTCTGGATTTCTTACTCGGGAGATCTCTGTCTTCCTCCCCATTGTCCACTCAGTGCTAATGTTCTCACCATAACTTGGTTAGTCTGTCCTTGGACTACTCCGTCTTTAAAATAATTAAAATGTCATTGTTATTTACGGCAAAGGTTGGAGGTGCTAGAATGAATGAATACTTTTTTAAATTGCCTTTTCGGGTAAAATAAATATATTAGCTAAAAGAAAAAAATGTGTATTTACTTAAATGTGACATGTTATTAATAGGACCACTCAAATACTTTGCTGTGAGATATTTGTCCATTTGTTCTTAGAGGCATATAGTAAGGTATCACACAGCTTTTGCTCTGGTACAAGTTATATTTTGAAAGAAAAGAAGGGACTGATTTGAGTACTGAGTACATTATACTGGCTTCCTGAATAAACTTACAGTGGTAACTCTTTTATAGGACTTCTTAGAATAGTGTCATTAAAATGAAATTTACAAGCTTTAAAAATGTGTTGGGGATGTCATGTACATTATGTTTATCAATATAACAGGTTAAATTACTACAAAAAGTATGTGACTTTCAGAGGAATTTTGAGAATTACTTATCTAGACATCATTAAAATTTCCAAAACAGCACCTTTGAAAGATCTCTTCAGCCTCTTGAATGATTTATATCTAAGTTTAAGAACTATGATAGCAAATCATATAGTTCTAGTAATACAAGATATTCCTCAAATCTGATGGTTACCTTGAGGGTTACCTTCTTCATAAGCACAGAAATAACTGTGAGTCTTTTATTTATTTATTTATTTATTTTTTCCCAGCTTTAATTGAGTTTATTGGTACATTTTAGGTATACAGTACAGTTACATTCATTATTGGGATCTTGTACCTCTACATGACAAGTCTTGGTTCTCATTTTTCCCCCTTGTCCCTGCCCTCCCTTCACCCCCTCCTCCCCTCCCCATCTACAACCACTTTATTTCCATCTTTTCATTATCTCACATTTTTTTCTTTTCCCTTTTTACCCTTCCCCTACCCGTCCCACCTTCCCTACACCTTTAGCTCCTTTCTTCCCATTTCTCAATGTTAGTAATCTTATTAGGATCTTCTGTATTATTGCAGATTGTTCACACCAGAGAAAACTGTGAGTCTTTTAAATAAGTCCCAGTCCTCATTGGCCAAGTATAATTTGGATGTTACTTTATAATCCTAAAATTATATCAGATGTTGTGTTGTAGGTGGATAAGAAATGGCCCTCTAGTGGCTAAATGATAAATTGTAGTTAGATTTATCAATCTACCAAGAATAATTTGGATTTGTAGTGATGCTTCATATTTTATGAAAATAGAATGGAGTCATATTCTAAGGCAATTATCACCTCCCAGTATTGTCCTTTTATTTATAAGGTTGTGTGTACATGCCTTTCATATATACTGAACATATTTTTGGAATTACTCTGATGTAAAATTAAAATGCTAGCTTTTCATAAAATGTTTTCAGAGAAGCTAAAAAACTGTTGACCTTTTCAGAACAATATAGACATCACCTTTGAAATGATTTTATTTTTTGCTTGACAATAAATTTGAGAAAGATATATCATTCTGTCATCAACAGGTGCCATCCAAGAAAGTTCGACCCAGCAAAATTCTTTCAAAAATAATGAAATAATGATATTTCCAAATTTGGAGAGGGGGTAGAGAGATAGAATAAAAGAGAATTCACTAGTAGCAGGCCCACATTAGAGGAAATAAGAAGGTGTGTTCTTCCAGCTGAAGCCAATAACCAGACAATAATTCAAATCTATACAACACACACACACACACACCCAGACACCCCATAGCAGTGATAAATGTTTGCAGGTAAGTACAAAAAAGAGCATACTGATACTTATCCTTTCTGTGTTTGATTTAAAGAGGAATTATATAAAACTATAGTGAAAATACATAAATTTGTTATATATTCACACACATATGCACACATACATTTTCATCATTAGCGCTACACAAATATATTTTAAAATGGCAGCACAGAGGAGACAGTAGATAAAAGGTATAATAGAGTCAGGAAGTGACACTGGATGGTACTGTGAATTCCAGGAACAAATAGAACCAGAAATGGAAAATTAAAAAGTTAATATAAGCATAGAGTTGCTTTTTTGTTCAGCTTCTTTAAAAGACACCCAATTGTATAAAATAATATTAGAGCAATGTGTTGATAGCTTTAGTATGTTAACAATAGCTCAAAAGGAGATAGAGATAGAAGAAATAGAACTATATGTAAACAGTGTTTCCGTATCTCACTTGAACTTAGATAATGTAAAGATGAAGCAGATTTTTATGACACATATATTGTAAGCCCTACAGAAATCATTAAAGAAAATAAAACCAAAATTGTGATGAAGTACGGTAAAAAGATCATACACCAAAAGCTAGTAGGAAATATTCCAGGATTTCAAGATTTAGCCAGCATTAGAAAAGGGCTAAAGGTGTAGGGAAAGCGGGAAGGTTAGGGGAAAGGTAATAAGGGAAAAGAAAAAATAGGAGAAAATGAAAAGATGGAAATAAAGTGTTTGTAAAGGGGGAGGGGAAGAGGGGGTGAAGGGAGGGCAGGGACAAGGGGAGAAAATGAGAACCAAGACCTGTCATGTAAAGGTACAAGATCCCAATGATGAATGTAACTGTACTGTATACCTAAAATGTACCAATAAACTCAATAAGGGAAAAAAGATTTACTCATTAAATGAAAATAAATTGATATTCCACAAGATATATAGAATGAAAAAAAAAAGCACGTGATCATTTCAATGTTGCAAAAGTAATACTTAGTACACCCCAACATCCTTTCATGATAAAACATTCAAAAGACTAGGAGTAGAAAGGAACTTCCTCTATATGATAAAGCCCTTCTATGAAAAACATACAGCCAGCATCACACTCAATGTGTGGCGAGTGAGTGCTTCTTGCTTGGGATCCGGTACATGACAGATATGCTCAGTCTTTCTACTTCTGCTTATCACAGCACTGCCTGTTTCAGCCAGAACAATTCAAGAAGAAAGGAAGGGAGGGAGGAAGGAGAAAGAAGGAAAGAAAGAGAGAGAAAGGAAGGAAGGAACTTTGTATATCAATGACCACGATCACTAGAGAATAAAAGAAAACATTTGTAAATCATATATGTGATAAAGATTTAATATGTAGGATATGCAAATAACTTCCATAACTCAAACATGAAAAAAGAAACTCAATTTAAAAATGAAGGAAAAGTGGGGATGTGGCTTGTAGTATAAAGTTTGCTTTGCATGCACTGAAGCCTAGGGTTTGAGCCCAAGAGCAGAAAAAATAAACAGGAAAGGGTATGCATAGACTCTTACCAATGAAGATGTACAAGTAGGTGTAATCATAAGATACTCAACATTTTCAGCTGGAGAATACAAATCAAAACATAATGAATCACCACGTCAAACCTACTAAACTTACAGTAGTGCGGAAAAGCAATAGTTTTTGGTGAGGATGTAAGGAAACCGCAAGTCTCCTGTGTTGCTGGTGGGAATATAAATGTTTCCGTTTCTGAAGAAGAGTAACACAAAATTTTCTGGTCCAGCCATTCCACTCCTCAACATGTGCCCAAAAGAGCCAAGAAAAGGAACTCAGATTCTCATACACAAATGTTCATTGCAGCATTATTCACAGTAGCCAAAAGGTGAAAGACACCAAATATCTATCAGCAGATGAATTGGAAGGTATTGTACACATACGATGGCTTCTGTTCCGCCATTGAAAAGATTAAAGTTCTTGTACATGATACGGCATGGGTCAACCTAGAACACGTTATGTTGAGTGAAATAAAGCAGACATGAGAAGGCAAATGTTATATGACTCTACTTACACTTACTATTGAGAACAGGCAAATGTAGACAGAAAATAGAATAGAGGTTACCAGTGGCTGAGAAGAGGGAATGGGGAGCTATTGCTTAGCGAGTATAGAACATTTTTTTGAATGATGAAATTTTCTTTGCAAATAGTGGCAGTGGTTGTAAATTTAACTAATGCCATGAAATTTTGTTTTAAAATAATTAAAATACAAACTGTGTTACATATTTTCCCCACAAAAAATATACTGAGAAAAATCAATATGGGAATGAAAGTATTATACCACAAAATATTCACTAATGTAGAAGATAAAAGTAAAGTAGAAAAGCAGGAGGAAAACAGAAATGAAACTGAAAACACAAAATCAAAATGGTGGCACACCGTTGTAATCCCAGCTCTTGAGGAGGCTGGGCAGGAGGATCACTGTGAGTCTGAGGCCAGCCTGGGCTACACAGCGAGTTCAGCCTGACCTACACAGCAAGACCTTGTTTCAAAAAGAAACAAATAAACAAACACAAACACAAAATGCAACATGTGAATCCTTTGTCAGTAATAACACTAAATATGCATGAATTAAACGATCCAGATATTTTCAGAATGGATAACAACAAAAAATAACACTATATGCTAACGATGTGAGTTTAGATAGAAAGGTATAAGTAGGATGAAAATAAAAGAACAGGAAAAGATAATTCTATGGAAGTGGCATCCAAAGAAAAGCAGGAGAGATGTACTAATGTGAGAAAAAACTTTACCGCAAGAGATGCTACTGGAGATAGAACATTTTAGATGATGAGGAGATCATTCCATCAGAAAGGTATATTCGGTTATAGAGCTCCAAACTGTGAAGGAAGGTGTACCTGGCAGACTCGCAAGAGGAAAGAGACAAATCCAGAATAATAGTTGAAAGTTTTCCTATCCCACTTTTAATAAAGAGTACAATAA